GGCACACATCTGTAATCCAGCATGTCGGTAATCCAGCCGAGGTGGGTGGATCACCTGAGGTTAGGAGTTCCAGACCAGCCTGGCCAACATGGCGAAACCCCATCTTTACTAAAAATACAAAACTAGCTGGGTGTGGTGCTGCGTGCCTGTAGTCCCAGCTACTCAGAAGGCTGAGGCAGGAGAATCACTCGAACCCAGGAAGCAGAGGTTGCAGTGAGCCAAGATCTTGCCACTGCATTCCAGCCTGAGCAACAGAGCGAGACCTTGTCTCAAAAATAAACAAACAGAAAGATCCTTTTATAAAGGACATAGACCAAGGCAACAAGATCAGAGACATTTCCCACCCCAGGACAGGCCCATGAGAGACAAGGATGGGCCTGGTCACCTGTCACCTGTCACTGGCTCCCTTCAGATCTTCAAGCTGGGTGCTGTGGTGAGGGAGAAGGAAGGGGACAGGGTAGTCTAAAGGCATCTAGAGCTCAGAAGGTACCTGGCAGGAGGCTGGTCCTGGACTTCTGACAGTGATGATGATGATGATGATGATGGCAATAATCACTGCTTCTTAAGCGTTAACCAACATTGGTAATCGCCAAGCACTTTATGTGTGATTGATCAGGGAGGTGTCCCAACAGCCCCTTTGACGGATGAATAAACTGAGGCTCAGTGCGGCAAAGTCACTTGCCTGAGTTCCCACAGCAGGGCTGGAATTTGCACTCCGGTCTGGCTGCCTCTGGAGTCCAAGCTTTTGCCTGCTGCTACGACCCCTTCTGGCTCTGAGCTTTCTGAAGTCTTTTTTTTGAGATGGAGTTTCATTCTGTTGACAGGCTGGAGTGCAATGGCCCAATCTTGGCTCACTGCAACCTCCACCTCCTGTGTTCAAGCAATTCTCCTGCCTCAGCCTCCAGAGTAGCTGGGATTACAGGTGCCACCTCTATGCCCGGCTAATTTTTTGTATTTTTAGTAGAGACAGAGTTTCACCGTGTTCCCCAGGCTGGTCTTGAACTCCTGAGCTCAGGCGATACACTCACCTTGGCCTCCCAAAATGCCGAGATTACAGGCGTGAGCCACCACCCCTGGCCCTGAAGTCTTGACAGTGTGCGATAGGGGAGGGGCAGGCAGGGAGGGCATGGGACTGCCTGTCAAGCAGGGATCATGCAGAGAACCTCCCCGGGCCCAGCAGGACTCTTCCTAGGCTGCAGCTCCCATTTCCCAAGCTCCCAAGTCAGCCTCTTCAGGGCCAAGTGGAACCCAATCCCAATTGTAAGCTTGGAAGCCTTGCTTCCAGCCCAGAGACTGCCCCTGGGGGTTGGCTCAGTGCCTTGGGGCCAGAGCAGGTGGGCCGGGTTAGGCAGGGCTCCCTCACTCTGGGCACTTCGGTGATGGCAGCCATCTGCAGGGCATGTGCTCCATGACACCCACCATGCCAAAAGCTTTACCAGCAACCTTCAGAGCCCTGCCACAGACCTATAGGCTCCTTAAACAGATAGGGAAACAGGCTCAGAGTCAGGAACTGACTTGAACAGGTATGTACAGCAAGTAAGGCTCAGAGCAGGGACCTGGACAAAGGCCAGTCTGACCCCAGAGCCTGTTCCCCAGACCCCTGAAAGACGAAAAGACAGATGGAAACCTACAGCTTGTGCTCAGCAGGTGATCTGCTTTCCCGGGGCAGAGGACCGTCCCTCCTGGCAGGTCAGGCCAGAGCCACGGGATTAGAGCCTGCCTTTGCCATTTGCTGCAGTTTTCTCCCACCAAGCCGAGGGCTGGGCTGGCATCCCCACAGAATGACCTCGGGGTCCCCAGACCCACCTGGCCTGCTCTGTGGCCAGTGCTGAGTGGCTGCCTGGTACCAGACCCTATGCCCCATGGTCTCAGTACCTGGATATGAAAACAGCCAACCTCCTCCCAAATCATTCCCCTCCTCAAAGCACGCATGCTCCAGGAGTGAAGTGAACTTGGGTAATATGCGGGACCCACGGGCCCATGGTGGGCAGCAGAGTGGGGTGGTTTTGTAGTCATAGGGCCTTGGATTTACTTCCTAAACCTACCACTTATAGCCGTGTGGTGGGCAAGTTGCTGGAGCTTTCTGGGCCTCAGTTTACTCATCTGTAAAACGGTCATATTAACGTCTACCTTGAAAGGTCATCAAGACCTTTTTTACATCATAAAATACCGAGTGTTCATACCATTGTCTTTGGTACATAATGAAGCCAATAAACGATGTTTTTAAAGATTGTTAAAAATGTCTATCATTTCTATTTGAGGAGGAAGGCATCTCAAATCTTCATCTTTATCCTGTGGGGCAAACGCCTTTGTACCCATGGCAGCTGACTGCTGGAATGAGCCCGAAGCCTTATCTTAACAAGTGGGCTGCACAGTTTTCAATATTTGGGGCAGGGGAAATGTTCTTAAAAGCAAACATTCCTTTGGGAGGCCGAGGCGGGTGGATCACCTGAGGTCAGGAGTTCAAGACCAGCCTGACCAAGATGGAAAAACCCCATCTCTACTAAAAATACAAAATTACCCAGGCACAGTGGCACATGCTCGTACTCACAGCTACTCAGGAGGCCGAGGCCAGAGAATCGCTTGAAGCCAGGAGGCGGAGGTTGCAGTGAGCTGAGATAGCGCCATTGCACTGCAGCCTGGGCAAAAAGAGCAAAACTTCGTCTCAAAAAAAAAAAAAGCAAACTTTCCTATAAAAAAAGATCAAAGCAGAGCTATTTTACTTGGTGACGAGGGGCAGCTTGCTTGCATCCTTCTACCATGGGGAGTTCACCCCCTTACTGGAGCATCCACTGACTGTGGCGAAGTTGAGATGCACCCACTTTCTTCTCTGATCCTCGCCCCCCTGAAGCTTCACACAACCTGAGCTGGTTCCCTTCCTCTCCTCTGAAAACGAAAAGCAAGACTAGAGTTGTTCCCACGTCTACTCCTGGCTCCATCACTGACTAGCTGCATGACCTTGGGATCGTTGTCACCCTGTGCCTCAGTTTTTCCCTCTTTAAATGGGGATTAATAATAGCACCAAGCTCCATGGGTTATGGTGGAGATCAGAAGTAATGATATGGTTTAGGCAAAGCCCTGGCACATAGCAGGCACTCAACCAGTGACTTCATCACCTTCCTCCTCACATGGGGAAGGAAGGAGGGAAGGAGGAGATGGGGTTGAGGGAGCAGGATTGAGAGAGAGACTCGGGGCTCCACCTTCCCACCCCATCCTCTGACAGCAGGCAACCTAACTCCCAACACACTCTTCCTGAGCCCTGGCCCTGTGTGAAACCATGGAAAATGAGAGCAGGTTCTGCCCCTGGAAGCGTCTGGCCTAGTGCCTCGGCCACTTTGTTCTGTCCCTCGCTCCCATTCCCGTGGCACCTGGAAGAGCAGAGTGTGTCAGTTGGAGCCAGTGCAAATCTCAAGCCCTGAGGCTCGGCCAGGTTAGAAACTTCAGTTTCCTAATCTGTAAAATGGGCATGATGATGGCACCAACCTTGTGAGACTGTTTATTCACGAGTAAATCATACGTAATTGTAATGTATACAATTTAGTAACAAGAACAAGAAAACCAGTCAGGCACGGTGGCTCATACCTGTAATCCTAGCACTTTGGGAGGCCAAGGGAGGTGGATCACCTGCGGTCAGGAGTTCGAGAGCAGCATGGCCAACATGGTGAAACCCATCTCTACTAAAAATACAAAAATTAGCTGGGAGTGGTGGTGGGCACCTGTAATCCCAGCTACTCGGGAGGCTGAGGTAGGAGAATCACTTGAACCTAGGAGGTGGAGGTTGTAGTGAGCTGAGATCATGCCACAGCACTCCAGCCTGGGCAACAGAGCGAGACTCTGTCTCAAAACAAGCACACACAAAACTAGAACAAGAAAACTTCAAAGGTGGCAGACCCAACCATCTCCTCCATGAAGTATCCGATGGTTTCTGCTTCCCCGAGGCTCACCCACAGAGTGTGGAGCCTCCAGACTGAGTCTACAGTGGAGAGATGTGCGTTTTTATTGCAACTTCCTCTGGAGCACGAGTTCTCCGTGGTCCAACCCAATGCCTTTGGAACTGAGACCCCTTGTTCATGTTTGCCTTGCCTGAGACCCCCACCTCACATGTCCCCCAAATGATGGCCACACTGGGAAAGACAAGGAAATCGACTCGGGCCTGGCATGGAGGTGGAAGCAGAGGTTCTTGGGCCACCTTGGGGACCTGGTGGTGCCTGGAGGGTGGGCCGAACAGGGGCTGGGCGTCACCTCTGGGTGGAGGGAATGGCTTGCCTCCACATGGGTCCCACGTGGCACCTGGCACAGGGCGGTGCTAATCTGCAAGACGTTTGTGGCAAAGACCTTGGAAACAAACAAACCAACAACTGGGCCCCCGACCCCTTCTCCAGTGACTGTCCCTGGGAAGGAGCAGGGAAGGACTCCAGGAGGCTGTGAGTGGGAGGCAGTCCCAGGTGGACTCCTTGGGTCCCCAGACCCTGCCGGAGAAACCTGGGCAGCTTGCCGGGTTCCTGAACGAAGAGGGGAGGTGCTCATGGTGCAGCTCACGGCCACTGCCTGGGAGTAGTCAAGGAATGGGGACCCCAGCTGCAGGGCAGGAGTCAGACAGCGACGCTGCATTCCAGGATGCCCACCAGGGCCCTGACCGTCTCCTGTGAGGGTGCTGCCTCTGGCCCAGCCTCTCTTCAAGCCGCCTCTGGGCAGCGGTGCACTTTACTGAGCAGACCCTCCTCATGGGGCCGCACTGGCCTCTGCCTTCTTTCAGCCCCTCACGTGGCAGGGGGGCCTCGCCTGTGCATCCCTGACACTCGCTCCCCCACACGGGAGCCTGCCTGTTTCTGGGGCACCCTTCCTGCTTAACCTTCTGTGGCACCCTTCCTGCTTAACCTCATTAGACCGTCCCAGCCGGCTTCTGAGGGCCGTGCTGGTCCTGGCCAGGGCGGGGCTGGGCAGGCCGGGCTCCCTCTCGAGGGCCCTGACAGTGGGTAGCAGGCGGCGGGCACACTCACCCAGGAGCAGGTTCATGAGCACCTCCTGGCCGGCCAGTGTGCTGCTCTTCACCAGGCAGAGGATGGTGCCCCCGATCCAGGGGATGCCGTGGCCGGTGATGCCGATGAGCTTGACCATGGAGCGGGCACTGGCCCAGGACGCCGCCCGGCCGGCGCACACCCCGAGCCGCTTGGACATGCAGATGTCGATGGCCAGCAGGGAGTTGAAGGCGATGCCCTTGAAGGAGGGGTTCAGCTGCATGCAGTCTTCCTCGGGCAGCTGCTGGGACTGACGCCGCTCTCGGGCCCCTTCGCCAGCAGGTGGGGGCTGTGCCGAGGGGCCTGAGGCCTTCCTGGCTGAGCTGCGGGGCTCCGGGGCCCCCTTGGGGGGCTGGTTCAGGGACAGGAACTCAGCCCGGTTGAGGACGTTGTTGCGGTCTCGGGCGCGGGCCCGGCTCTGGGAAGCTGGCATGGTGACCTCGCTCACCCTGAGAGGCCCGATGCCAGCCCGGCTCCAAGGGCCTTCTCCCCGAAGACAAGAGCTGCCCCCACAGCCGCCACCGTGTATGCCTCCCTGCCTTCTCCGCAGCAGCTGTTAAATATAGGGTGGAGGGCTGCACATGGCTGTTTATCTCCGCTGCCACCCGGCTCCAAGGGGACGTCAGTGCCAGCCGGGCAGCCAATCCAGCCCTCCAATGCGGGGCCTGCACCAGCAGAGCCGCTGGGAGGTGAGGAGTCCACAGCTGCGGCCTGGCTGCCTTGGGCCTGGGCTATTTAAATCGCCCAATGGCTCATCCCTGGGCTTGGGGAACTCTGGGAAATGTAGTCCTCCTGCTGCTCTGGACTCGGCGGTGTCGTTGGCCTCTGACAGAGCAGAGGTGGGACCTGGACTTACCCTGCTTTTACCGGCTTCCCTCTGAGCCGTCCAGACCCCTGCAAGCCAGCTCTGCCTGCCTCAGCGGTCTAGCAGATTGAATCTGGTCCTGTAAACGGGATGTAGCTCAGGCAGAGGCCTGTAGGGGCATCAGATGGAGTGAACCACGTCAGCGACAGCATCATCTTGGGTCCCTGGGGCCAGGCCCAGCTCCTCCCTCTGTGAGAGCATTCATTAAGCTGGCAGGTCTTGTCTTTTTTTTTTTTTTTTTTTAATCAGTCTTGAATTCAGCTTCAGCGCATCACAGTCCAATCGAATGACAATCCATGAGCTTTGATTTCCATCGGGGGAGGGGTAAGGAGTCGGTTGGTAATGGATTGCCTCTTGGAGGTGCCTCCACTCCCTGGAATTTTGAGAAGGATAGGAGTGTGACAGCAGCTTCGGGCAAACTGTAGGTAGTTCCCGAGCACCTGACACACTGCAGGAAGCTCTCAGTTCAGTGGGATGGAAGGAATGGCACATGTAAGTGATCACAAGTGTGCAAATGTGTGGCAGGCTCCCAGTAGCGGGGCTCCAGGTCTGGTCTGGGAGTCGTGGACAGGCCCCCCAGGAAGGAAGAACAGAGGGGGAGCCCCAGCAGGGCAGAGCTTGCCTTGCAGGAGGCCTGGAAGGGTCGTGGGGCTGCATGGGGTCCAAGGGGTGAGAGGCTGCAAATCCAGAACGCAGACAAAGAGGACCCGGCCAAGCATTTGGGATGTGAGCAGGCATTCACCTGGGCCACTTGTGGGAGCCCAAAGTCTCCACAGCCCTTTTAGGGCTGACTGGGTCTGGGCTCGATGGGGAAAGCTGCCCATTTAAGCTGACCAGAAGAGTCATAAGCCAGCTCCTCTGTCTCCTGATTCTGGGTGACCAAGGCCTGTCTGCTCAGCCCAGTTGAAGGCAGGAGGCTGCAACTTCTCTTCCAACCATGGAGGCTGCCCATGGTGCCCCAGGTCCTCCTAGAGCCTCCCAAGAACAAGAAGCTGCCCCCAGGAGGGAGTGGGTGTTCCCTGGCCACGGGGGATGGGCATGCAGTCTCTGGAGTCAGAAAGATGGGGCTCTGTCCCACCACCAACCAGCTGGGAGAACTTGAGCAAGTCACTTGGCCTCCCCGGGCCTTGGTGTTTCTACCTGTCATATGGAAATGATAGTGTCCACCTCTTAGGGCTCTCGTGAGTCTCAGTGAGACGGTGTCTGTGAAACACTGAGCTGTGTCCCTGCGGCAGAGTGAGTTAGGAATTGATTTCAAGTTAGGAATGCCTTTTGAGTGCCCTCTTCAGCAGGGCCCAACCCTGTGGTCTGGCCTCCATCCCATTCCTGGCAGGGATGAGGCCAAACTCCAGGAGCCCTGAGTCTGGGGTTCCCTGCAGATGGCCTGGCTGGGCCCTGCTGGGCTGGAGCTGGCTAGGCCTGCCTCATTCCTCCTCTTCCCCTCCAGCGTGCTCCACTCAGACAGCAAGGCGAGGGGGATGTCACGGCTGCATGATGTCCTGCCCTCTTGGGTGCAGCAATGATGACATGGGCAGCCTCATCCCGGACTGTAGACGCCTGGAAACAGATGCGCGTGGAAGTGTGCACGCCCGGCATGGACACTGAACGTGTACAACCTCTCTGTGTGCTCAGCTTAACAACACCTAAGGGCAGTCCTGTAACGCAGCTGTGATATCGTCCCCATTTACAGACGTGGAAGCTGAGGCTGAGCGGGTGAAGGCCTCCAGCCAGGCAGCTGAAAAGAGAGGGGGTCTGGCTCCTAAGTGGTCCCTATGGGAGGTGGCACAAGGGTGCCTCGACCACAGAGACATGATCTGCTCATCTCTCCACCAAGCACTCACCCCACTCTCCCTGAGTGGCCTCGTGGGGGGCACAGGAGACTGGTCCAGACAGGGACTGTTAATACCCAGAGGCTGTGTCAGCATTTCATCAGGCTAGAGCAGCTGGCAGGTTCTGAGAGCCACACTGGGCCTCACCCTGGCGGGGCTCCATGGGGTCCAATGTGGCTCCTGCCCAGCAGTAGTTAAGACATAAAGTCTGCGATAGGACAGCCCCAGGTTCAAACTCTAGCTCAGCCACCTCCAGTTGAGTTACTCCAGGCAAGTTCTTCAGCCCTTCCAAGCCCATTTTCGCCTTTGAGGGTTGGCAAGAAGATTGCGTGAAGGGCTTTCTGTCCGTGATGGTTTTGGTGGCTTCCCCCAGGACTCTGAGACCTGCTCCTCTCCTTCCTATGGGTGAGGAGGGGCGACTCTGTTCACATTCTCAGGTAGCTGAGAAGCAAGCAACCTGAACCCAGATACAGAAAGGAACGATGGGACCACAGACAGTCCTGGTTGCCTCAACCTGCAAGCCTTTATTTTAATTTTATTTTTTTAGATATGAGGTCTTATTATATTGCCCAGGCTGTTCTCAAACCCCTGGGCTCAAGTGCTCCTCCTGCCTCCTCTTCCCAAAGTGTTAGGATTACAAGGATGAGCCGCTGTGCCTGGCTTCCACAAACCTTTATAAGCACCCACCATGGCCCACACAGTCTCACTGCCCAAGAGACTGAGAATTCATTTATCCACCCATCCATCCATCCATCCATCCATCCATCCATCTACCCATTCATTCATTCATTCATTCGATGTTGTTATGGATCTTGTCCTCTCATTGATCTCACAGTCTAGTTGGGGATACAGGACACATATTCACCAAATAATTAGCCAATTTATTAAACAGTATAATTTTTTACCAGTAGCCTTATTTTTTCTTGCTATCAAAGAGTTACATACTGTAATACATTCAACATGCGTAATTGATACAGGTTTCATTCTACCGTGTTAACATGAGGGTGATCAGGATATTAAGGGGTTCTCACTTGTCTCATTTCCAATTACTAAAATATTTTGCATCAACCAGGCATTACTTTAATAATTAGAAAATAATATATACTAAATTATATCTCTGTCATATGCAATATACACAAAAATATGCATTTTATTATTATCATTATTATTTTATGAGATAGGGTCTCACTCTCTCACCCAGGCTGGAGTGTAGTGACATGATCTTGGCTCACTGCCATCTCTGCCTCCTGGGTTCAAGTGATTCTTATGCCTTAGCCTCCCATATAGCTGGGACTACAGGTGAGCACCACCACCCCCAGCTAATTTTTGTATTTTTTGGTAGAGATGGGGTTTCAATCCACGTTGGCCAGGCTGGTCTCGAACTCCTGACTTCAAGTGGTCTGCCTGCCTCATGCTGGGATTACAGATGTAAGCCACTGTGCCTTGCCCCAAAATATGCATTTAAAACATATGATGACATTGTACATTCTTCTGAAAAACAACCTCCCCTTTTCACTTCACAATATAAATCTGGCCATGTCTTCATGACGCCCTATTATTTTTCAAAGGCTGCCTGGCATTTTGTCACATGGATGGGCCAGAATTTATGCAACCAGCCCCCTATTAGTGGATATTTTGTTGTTTCTATTGTGTAACGATTCAAAAACTACTCTAGGCTGGCCATCCTTCTGCATATATCCCTGTGCACTAAAGCAAGATAGAAACAAGTAGTCAAGGCTGGGCACAGTGGCTCCGCCTGTAATCCCGGCGCTTTGGGAGGCTGTGGTGGGAAGATCACCTGAGGTCAGAAGTTTGAGACCAGCCTGGCCAACGTGGTGAAACCCTGTCTCTACTAAAAATATAAAAATTAGCTGGGTGTGGTGGCACATGCCTGTAATCCCAGCTACTCGGGAGGCTGAGGCATGAGAATCGCTTTAACCCGGGAGACAGAGGTTGCAGTGAGCCAAGATCATGCTATTGCACTCCAACCTGGGTGACAAGAGTGAAACTCTGTGTCAACCCCTGCTCCCCCCCCAAAAAAAGAAAAAAAGAAACAAGTAGTCAAGGTAGGGTGGCTGGGACCATGCTGGGAGGGATCCCCATGGGATCTGGTGGGCTCACACAAACCACCTACTGTAGTGCCCAGACATGGGAAAGCAGATGGGGCCACAGACACTCCTGGTTGACAAGGCAAGTGCAACCACCCTCTTCCCATATTAGAGCTGCAAGCGCAGGCCCAGATTGGTGATGTCACTAGTGAGGTCACACCTGGCTAAGGCCAAAGCTGGGACTGGGGCAGGCCAGTCCCTCTGACTCTGAGCCTTCAAGCTGTCCTACTGGCCACATGTCCCATGGCTTCTCTGTTCCCTGCCTGCTTGGCCTTATCTGTCACTCATTCACTTACTCTTTCAATTTCACTCATTCACTCACCAACACTTTTTCTTTCTCTTTCTTTTTCTTTCTCTCTCTCTCCTTCCTTCCTTTTTCTTTCCTTTCTTTTCTTTCCTTTTCTTTCTTTCTTTTCTTTTCTTTCCTTTTCTTTCTTTCTTTTCTTTCTCTGTTGCCCGGGTGGAGTGCAGTGGCATAATCTTGGCTCACTGCAACCTCCACCTCCCAGGCTTAAGGGATCCTCTCACCTCAGCCTCCCAAGTAGCTGGGACTATAGACATGTGCCACCACCCTGGCTAATTTTTCTATTTTTCATGGAAATGAAATTTCACCATGTTGCACAGGCTGGCCTTGCATTCGTGAGATCAAGCAATCCACCCACCTTGGCCTCCCAAAGTGCTGGGATTACTGGCGTTGGCCACCATGCCCAGCCTTTACCAACACCTCTTGATGCTGAAATGTGCCAAGCTCAATGGAAAGACCAATGAGAAAAGCAAAGATGACCTTGGTGGCCTGGTCCCCACAGCTCACTAGGCCTCTCCCGAGCATTGCTTCACCCAGGGCCTTATTCCAAAGATTGATTACTGAGAGGAGGGCTGGGAGTGAAGCAGTTTGCCAGGGCCCATGGCTGGTACAAGGACTCAGATCCAAAGCTCAGCCTAAGTCCTTAACCATCTGACACTACTACCTCTCTCTTACTACATAGCAGGAGTTTTCTGGCAGCTTTTGGTGCCTAGAGCAGTTTGGACATTGCAGACACTTGTTTTCTGTCTTTAAGCATTTAAGATCGAGTTACCACAAATATGAACAGGTATATTTATCACTGGCTTATACCTAACTCTTGCTATGCTTGTGCCAAGCTTGGAGCAAAGTGCATACCCCACGTCGCTCAGTGTAACCAGCACAGAAACTTCACAGACAGGTGTTCCACGCCCTTCACACAAAGGAGAAAACTGAAGCTCAGAGTTGAGGAGATCTAGCCAGGCCACTGCATGAGCCAGCAGGAAGCCCCGAGTCAAACCTCACCCCCGTCCCTCGCCCTTTTCCCTCTTCTGCTCTCTGCCACTTTTTTGTTTCTGTTTTTGTTTGAAAGGAGTCTTGCTCTGTCACCCAGGCTGGAATGCAGTGGCACTATCTCAGCTCACTGCAACCTCCACCTCCTGCTTCAAGTGATTCTCCTGCCTCAGTCTCCCAAGTAGCTG